GGATATCAATTTCTGTTTCTAACCTCATCATTATTAGAGATTGCCAGTGAGGATGATAGGCGGCTCTAAAGTTTTGAGCTCTGTATACTAATAAAATCAACACACAATTGGTGAGATAAGATGTATTCAAAGTCACCCAGACAGAGAATGGTTTCTAAACCTGATCCAGGCCTTCATATAGCAGATCAGGTGTACTAATTAAACCTAAGGAAGGATGAACCAGCCATAGGAAGGAAGTCAGTGAAGAAACAGATGCAAGTCTGCTGGGATGGTGGTCCCTGCCTACAGAGAGGGACACTGAGGCTTGGGGAGGTAGATATTCCTTGGTTACCAAATGGCAGTCTGGGTGAAAACACCAAAATTATGCACTCTGCCTTGCTCTGCTTTCCAGCTCACTTAGCAACCTTCAAATAATTATTTGGATTTTCCTGCTACATCAATGTCTAGAATGAAGGTGCCGTGAACAGAAAATATTGTTTGCTGGCTTGCTTCGTTCATTCATTCATTCATTCATCCATCCATTCAATAAATATTTACTGAATGTCCACTATGTGCCAGGCACTGTTCTATGTCCTGAGGACACATCAGTGAATGAGATGTGTCCCACGTCCCTGCTAAGAAGGCACATATCTTGGTTGGAGGAAACTATTAAAACACATAAATAAACTATATACTGTGTCAGATGGTGACAAGTGTTAAGGTAAAAAATGAAGCAAATGAAGCGTGAGGGAGTGCTCTTGGGACTGTTAATTTAAAGATGGAGCCAGGAAGGTCTCACTGATAATTTGAATGAATAAGTGAAGGAGGTGAAGGAGGTAGGCATGGGAATATCTAAGGGAACAACATCCCAAGCAGGGAGGAGTCAGTGCAAAGGCCTGGAAGTAGGGATGCGCTTGATATATCCTAGGAAAGCCAGGGTGGCTGGAGCAGAGTGAGCCAGGGAGTGAGAGTAGAAGATGGATAGAGGGCCCTGAGAGGCCAGATTGTGACTTGAATCTTCTTGTGGCAGGGAAAGGATAATCCTCCCCAGGGATATAGATAATGATTTAGGAATTTGGTGTCTCGTTGAGGCCACTCAAAGTGGGTGGTTGTAAAATGAAATAAAACAAAAAAGGGTGGTTATGAGGATTAAGTGAAACAATGTATCCACTGGCAAAGCAGTGGGTCAGTAAAATAGATTCCCTTCTCCTCTCCCCTTCTCAATTGCTCCTTTGCACTGGATGACTCAGAATTGCTGTCCACATTGAATCACAATGAAATCTTAATTAACCCTCAATTTTGGCACCATAGGCTTCCAGCAAGGCTCTTGAACAAAGGAGCCCAGGTTGTTTCAGCAATGGCCAACACAATCAGCAATCCATTTGGGTTGCATCATATGCTCTAGCCCCTCCTAACCTCCCGCAGAGCTGTGGAGGTAACGTGAAATTATCAATGTAAAGCACTCAACATAGTACTTGGGCCATTATTCATTGAATGTTAATTTTTTATTATTTTCATACCCCTGTAGTTTTTGGGAAAATGTTATGGAAATGTATATGTGTATTAATTATGCTATGAAAAAGTAAAAAAGAAAACAAAACTATTCAAGCAACAGCGGCTTGTTTTACTGATACCAATGGTGAATTAAGAGGGTCTTTCTAGGGTCTCAATTTTGGGCAGAAATTGAATGCAAACTGAGTACTGTGATGCTTGGTTTTATGGGTCTGCCCAATAGTTGACTGGCCTACCCAACTATTCAGTAGGTGTGGTCCCCATCTGAGTTACCAATCAGTTGCTTTAAGGAGATAATCCTGAATGTGGGTGGGCCTCATCCAGCCAGTTGAATGACCTTAAGAGCTAAACTGAAGTTTCCTTAAGGAAGAAAGACAGTTGAGCTGCCTCAAGGTAGCAGCATCAACTCCTGCCTGAGAGTTTCCAGAGAGCTTGCCCTACAAATTCTGCACTTGCATCACCCATAAAGCCATTTTCTTGAAATAAATCTATGTAAGTGTATATGTATATGTATGTGTATATGTGTATGAATATGTATGTGTATCTATGCCTCCGTGTGTGTGTGTACGTGTGTGTACTCCTACCGGTTGTGTTTCTGTTTCCCTGGAGAATGCTGACTGATACAGGTGCACATGAAGGCTTATTTATTCTTCTTTTCCTTTTGTCAGTAATTCTTCATGATGCCTCATTTGCATGATGCAATTTTACTGAAATGAAACTCAAGCAGCTCCAAACTTCAGAGTCAGTTTCTTTCAGCCTTGCAACAATTTCTTTTTTGCCTTGGCCAGGCCACCTAACCCTGGGGTAGGGATCATCCCTACACTGACAGTGGCTGGAATAGCCTACCTATGAGGGTCCAAGGGCACATCACCTGGGTTCTAGGTGAACAGTAGAAAGAACATAAATGCCAAGTGGATAATTTGTCTCTGGAAATACAGATATATCAAGGGGTCACAGGGTAGAGACTGGTTGGTTTGCTATTCTCTGGGTATGAATTCAGAGCATAATTCGGATATAAAAACTTTGTTGTCTAAGTGAAAATATATCTGTGCAGTGATGGTAGCACTGCAATTTCTAGAATGAATGCACAGGAGGACAAATTACCATGAGAAGAGATATTACTGACAGAGTAAGTCTACTTTCATTTTTTGCAAGTCTGTCCATAATCATATGGAAATAAACCCCTGGTGAAAAGTGAGACAAAAACTATGACATCATCTGAATTTGGTGTCACTGCTCTAAGCTAAAAATTTGGGTGAGTTTCCACTTTCCTTTCTGGTCTCCAAGTTATTTTTTCCACTTTTACCCTCTTTCTTCCTTATAAAGCATTCCTCACAGCATTGTCAGGATTTGAGCAAAAACATTTTTCATCTCATTTCTGATTTACCATTTTGTGTGATTATGATTCATAATAAGACATAGATTTGGTGTTTCACAGAGCTAAGAACCTCAGAATTTCCTAAGTGAAGAAAGGCATCCTTTGTTATGTTAATGAGGTGGGCTCTGGACCCCTCTGGCCAGGAGGACCAACCTGTGATTTGAGGGCTGGACCAACCTGTGATTTGAGGGCTGGAAGTTTAATTTCCCCTCCTCTATGCACCTTTGGGAGGGAAAGGGGCTAGGGACGGAGTTCAATCACCAGCGGTCAATGATTTAATCAATCATGCCTATATAATGAAGCCTCCATAAAAACCCAAAACGACAGGATTCAGAGAGCTTTCTAGTTTGTGAATATGGAGATTTGGGGAGAGTGGTGCACTATGAGAGGGCATGAAAGCTAGGTGACCTTGCCCACATACCTTGCCCCGTGTATCTCTTAACCTTTTATAATAAACCATTGATCTAGTAAGTAAAACATTTCTCCAAGTTCTGTGGGCCGCTCTAGTAAATTAATTGAACCCAAAGAGGAGGTCATGGGAACCTCCAATCTGTAGTGAGTGGGTCAGACACATAAGTAACAATCTTGGGAGCTTGAAAATTGGGTCCAGGAACCCAAAAAGACATTTTCTTACTGTATACCTTTCATAATCAAGCAGACTTTTGTGTACTCATCTGTCAAATTTTTATAAGTTCTTAAAATTTGGTTATCAGCTAGGTGACGCAATGGCAGGGGAAAATTGTGTTTCCAGATGAGAAATCAACCTGGAACATAAACCAGCATAACCTGCTACGAAACAGCTTCCCTTAGAGAGACCAAGAAGGCAAGGCGATGGGTAGCTTATGAGATACCAGAACCTCCATGAGGTAGTTAATGGCCAACAGGGAGTGCTTTTAAGGTGTTGGAAACCTACACTGTCCATAAAGGCTCAAGACTGAGCAAGGCATGCTATCGGTCCATAGAGAGCAGAGCTGTGGGAAAAGAAAACTGAAGACTCAAGAACCCTCTACCTTCCACATGTGCATTTTGTAATTCTTGGAATGCTCTACTTTTGCAGAATTGCTTTTTAAATTCTCGCCTGTTTTGCTTATTTCTGCAATTTTCAGTTGGCTTCTTTTCATTCTTATTTAATTTTCTTCTAATGTAGCAATTCCTCCAATTTGCCTTCCTCTCCTTCCCACTGTGAATTTCCTATACTTCTCTTGCCCCCTCTCCCCTTTCCATTTTACCTCTTCTTCACCTTATTCTTTGAATTTATTTTTCCTGTGCTTAATTCTTCTTCCTTTCCTACTGATCTGTTGTGGTTTTAATCATTGCTTGGGCACTTTAAAATCACCCAGTGACTGACATTTTCTCCCTGAAAGGAAGAGGATTTGCGACTGTGGAAAACTAACTACAAAGACCCAACACATTCAATTTTCAGTGCAGTTCTTTCCTTTCTTCCGTGGCGCTTTTGCTTGGGATTAGAGATGGACCGCTTAGTGCACCTCACAATGGCACAGCCCTTCAGGCCTGACTTCTCAGCCCTGCCAGTCACATGGCAAGGTGGAACTGAGCCACTATGTTTATACTGATTGGGAGAATTGTAAAATTGACCTTCACTAGGAAAGACTTACTCAAATCTTTCTGGAGAACAAAGTAATGTTATTTTATGATCTTGTGATCAGACTCATTCTTCTCAGACCATTCATTCCCTTTGCCCCTAGCCCCACTCCATTTTCTTATAGCATGAAACAAGAGCACACACAAATGGGCTGGGAGAAGGGTGAGGGATTTTTGTCCAGTTACCTTGGCCAACCGGACCAGAAGTAAGATCTTTGCAAAGGGAAGAATAGTGAAATTAGTAAAATAGATCAGTCCTCAGGACTGAAAGATTTTATCATCTGGCATTTCGGAAATATTAGATTGCCATGAATACACCAAGTTCATTGGACTCTGAGAGATTTCACCTTAGTTCCTTGTAACACTTACGTATAGACTGTATAGCTTTTTATTTTTTTGACAAATTTGGTCATGAATTCACTTTACCTTTCTGGGTCTCTTGAAGAGCAAGAGCGGATACCTCAATGGCTAAGTGCTTGAAGTTAGTCTCTACCAGGCAGCAGGATCTGGAAGGTTATCATTATCAAAGGATATTTGTGGTCAAAGCCATACCACATTCTGAAGAGCCAAGCACTCTCTGTTTTGGTTGTGTTTTTCTCCAAGCTATTTGCTTCCTGGAGAAAGACAATAGAAAAAGGTATCAGATAAATAATCAATACATATTTATATATTAATATCAATATACATTAATATAGAATATATTAATATATTTTCACTATAAAAATACATGTCAAGCCAAATTAAATGTAACCACTTAAAAAAAAAACTTTCTAGGTTGTAGGCATTTTTATCTAAATGGCGAAGCAGCTGCCAAGCAAATTAGTTCATAGATCTTGCCATGTGGATGAGACTCTTGTGGCATAATTCAACATTTACTTTTCTTCATAATCCCTATTTTATTAAACAGCTAAGAAATGCCATTTTTTTTGACATCAATAAAAGTGATATTTCTGTCAGATTGCTGTTGCATGATTTTTGCTGTTTACTTCTGTCAGATTTGGATGGTATTTATTTATGACTTACCAAAAGGTCAAGTCTAAAGGGGTGATAACAGTCTAATAATTGTTAAGCTAGTTTTCATTCCTTTTCTTTGTGATTACTACCAAAGGCTATGGTTAATATTTGATAGCTTTCTATTTCTATTTTAAGAGTTTTGAAATAGATATTCCTTATAAAAGCCTGTAATATTCGAATGTGCTTGTCCATTTATTATTTTTTTTTCAAAAGGGCCAAAGTAGGAGGGGAATTAAGAAGAGAAAGCACTCAGCCTTGCTGACACCGCTGCCCCAGAGCCACCTGTGTCACTAACCCCAGAGCCACCTGTGTCGCTAACCATGGTCAAGCTCACTGTGTTCTTTGACGACCATGGACAACAAGCCTTTGAGCCTTGTCTCCTTCGAGCTGTTTGCAGACAAAGTTCCAAAGACAGCAGAGAACTTTTGTGCTCTGAGCACTGGGGAGAAAGGATTTGTTTATAAAGGTTCCTGCTTTCACAGGATTATTGCAGGACTTATGTGCCATGGTGGTGACTTCACACGCCATAATGGCACTGGTGGCAAGTCCATCTATGGGGACAAAGTTGTTGATGAGGATTTTGTCTTGAAGCACTCAGGTCCTGGCATCTTGCCTAAGGCAAATTCTGGACCTAACACAAATGGGTTCCAGTTTTTCATCTGTGCTGCCAACACTGAGTGGTTGGATGGTTGGCATGTGGTCTTTGGCAAAGTGAGAGAGGGCATGAATATTGTGGAAGCCATGGATTGGTTTGGGTCCAGGAATGGTTAAGACCCCACAAGAAGATCACCATTCCTGACTGTGGATGAATCTAATACATTTGACTTGTGTTTTATCTCAACTATGAGACCATTCCTTCTGTAGTTCTGGAGGGTATCCGTTCACCCCCACCTGCTTGAAATAGCCTATAATCTTTGTGCTCTCACTGCAGGTCTATATTTTCCTTATTCCCTTCCAAGAGCTGGATTGCACAATTAAGTTTATGACTATGAAATAAAAACTAAACAACAACAAAAAAAGAAGAAAAAGTATTTGATGTATATTTACGAGAGAGTAGAGGATGAATGTGAGAAAAAGGAAAGAAGGTGAAAAATTTTTGTGAACCGTACAGACAGATGACAATGAAGATTGATTGCACTGTGGTAGGAAGGAGATCAGTGGCATTTTTACTTCTTTTGTGAATCCCATTTTGCATATCAAGAAAAGAGACTCCAAGGCTTCAATTGATTGTAACTTTCTCCATCATTAAAAGCATTTATAGATCTGTGCACATGGACTTCATTGCTTTATTTGGGCCCACGGTTTCCACCCCCAAATTGTAACACTTGTTCAGAGCCCGTTAACAATGTGAACACTCTCAAGAAACTATGACATGGAAGACAATGGCAATTCCCTGACTATTCCTGAGATAGCCCTTAGATGAACCCAAGTGGATTTGCTTTCATTTTATTTACTTTTTCCCCATTCCCAGACAGTTCCCTTGATGGTTAGCATTAAAGAGCTCTGTTCTGCTCTCTAAAACATGTGTACTAGCAGATGCTGGAATTCCAGCCCCCAGAAATAAAATGGGAATACAAGAAAGCCAAATGGGGTCCATTTCTAGTCTGTATCCTTTGTTTAAAATGGTTGAAGCAGAGACTCACAATAAAATTAAAATCCAAACTGGAAACTCTTCTCTTTGGTTGTTTAAGATCTCTGATTTCAAATCTTGTATGTTTTCCTGAATAGTGTTCCCTAGAATACCACTGTCCTATACGGTGTTGATGGAAATTTTGTGCTCATTGTTTGGAAAATGCGGGTTTGATAGTGTCAGAAGGGTTTTCTTCTTTCTTTCTTTCTTTCTTTCTTTCTTTCTTTCTTTCTTTCTTTCTTTTCTTTCTTCTCTCTCTCTTTCTTTTCTTCTTCTTCTTCTTCTTCTTCTCTCTTCTTCTTTTTAAAGATTTTATTTATTTATTCATGACAGACAGAGAAAGGCAGAGACACAGGCAGAGGGAGAAACAGGCTCCCTCTGTGCAGCCTAATGCGGGACTCAACCCCAGTACCCCGGGATCATGCCCTGAGCCAAAGGCAGATGCTCAATCACTGAGCCACCCAGAAAGGTTTCTTAACACAGGACTTCTCAGAGACTCTTGTTTATAAATCAGCATTGTAAAATCTTTAAGAGGGAAATATTTCTCAAACTTACTTGGCCATGGAACCCATTCCTCATTCCCAAGCCCCCTGGTGCATGGGACATCTGTGATCTTTTCATGGACATTAAGTTTTAAAAATCTTTTTTCTGATAGACCTGAGTGTTATGCCTTATTATCTAGAGTTAGAATTGATTCATCATATTCCTCCTAAAAGAAAACCAGAGTGTCAGTTCAATTTCTGTCCTTCCCTGAATCTTTCTCTAGCCATTTCTACCCCAACAAAGGTTTCAGATTTGCAAAATCACTGCTGCACATAGTGTTTCCTTTATTATTTTATAACATCTGTAAGTTGTTTCTGAGTCACCATCTCTCCAACAGGCACAGCTTGTTGGGGCTCAGGTGGCAGAGGAAAACTGCTTACCCTGAAACAAGCTAGTTAGAAAAACTCTGACCCAGTGGGGAGTTGCCTCTCTCTTTCTCTCTTTTTCCTTTTCTTTTTCTAAGAACAATAAAGGACTTACAAAATCTTATCCATCAGCAGGCACAGGTGATTTTTGATAATATCTACTGGTGACAAGATAGATAGTCATTGAAGAAAACTGAGAGAACTTAGTGTAAGTAACTTCATGTTTTTGGTTTGGTTGGTTGTTTTTAAGTAAATGTGGGCTGTTTGATGGTGAGCTTGCCTGGCAGTCAGCTCAGAGGTCAAGCACCCTCTCTGCCCCACTCAATGACGTTGATGATAGTGATAGTCTCCAGCTATCGAATGGTCCTTAATTCCTTGGCAGCACACTAGTCACAGTCATTAACTTTTTCAGTCCTTACTTCTCAGTTTTCAAAACACTCTAGAAACGTGGCCATGTATACCTAGTTTACAAGTGAGGAGCTGGAGAGACCCACAGAAGGGAAGAGAGGAGCCCAAAGTCCCAGGGTTAGCAAGCAACAGAGCTAGACTTTGAATGTAAGACTGCTGGACTCCAAAGATGATGTTTTTTTCTGCAAGTTATCTCGTTTAGTCTTTAAACTCTGGAAAGCACAGACACTGCAAGATAAGTTACTGGGCTGCAGTTTCCTCGCTTGCAAAACGAATTGAGGAAATCGCGACTGGCTGGACTCCAAGGTTCTAATCTTATGGAAAACATTATATTTTTATTAATGACAACAACAGCAATAACAGCTGACACTTTGTGAACACTCACCACATATCAGACGCTATTCTAAGGGCTTTTCATGTATTAACTCTTTTAATTATTATAACAATTTGATGAAGTATGTTCGTTCTATTATTATTCCTATCTGACAGATGAGGAAACTGAGGCACAGAGAGTCTTCTTCTAAGCATGTTTGTGATCCCTCAGCAGCCAAGATTCCTCTCATCTAGATGGGGCCCCAAGGTATAAGTGGGGAGCAAACTAAGGTAAGGGAATATCTGAACAGGGAGATGGGGTCAGGATTCTGGGGTGATCATATAGGTTGAGACAGAGCAGTTACCTACACCCCAAAACATAATGAAAATGCATGGGTAACGTGTTGATGGCTGTGAAGAGTGTCCCTATAGAAACTTAACATCTGTGTTAGGAATTCCTCTAGACTCCTACTGGTTTCAAGCATTTTCCAAGGTCTTAGGAAACTTCTCTGCCCTTCTTTCCCCTTTCCAGATCTTTTTTATTTTATTTCCTGAGGGGAATATACCAGAACTCACAGGCACTCATGAAAGATCTTATACTCTATTTCTGGCAAAGCTTTCAGAGATATTTTTTTGACAGCTGATAAGAGCAACACATATTAGGTAGCATTCTAGAAAAATGTTAACAAATGTAATCTTTTTTTCAAACTTTCTTTTACTTGGGAGATTGGTGATGGTATTTGCTAGTTTATAAAGAAGTGGACTGGGTTTTAATTAGAATAAAACACAGACCATGTTTTCCCAAGTGAGGGAAATGCCACTGACGACCCAGCATTGACTTTTCTGCTGATCCTAGACAAAATTTTCAGTGGGTATCTTAAATATCTGTTGGCCCAGTTCTGGATCTGTTCATTTATTTCTCTGAAGTTATTGATGACTTAATAACTCGGTTATGAAAGGCCATCAATAAATGAGTAGAAATAAATGAGTTAGTCTACTGTGTGCTCTGCTTGTTCACTGGGGGTTGAAGATAAATGTGCCAAGGGAAGGCCAGGCTTTGCATTCACCCTGGAACAGGGAAGGTATCTGATGAGGCAGCACAGAGGGCAAGCTTCTGGGAGGGTCCAGATGGGCAAAGGACAGCAGGTAGCATTAATTTACCAAGATTATTCTGAAGCAGAGATCAACTCACACCCAAGGACAATGGATATGAGCGATCATTAGAAGCGAAATCTGGAACTTGATGGTATTTTCTTTGTCACTAACAGTATTTCTTTTCTTTTGAGTTCCTTTATCCCAGCGGGGATGTGGTGCGCATGTTTGGAACACACAGAGGATTCAGAAACTGAAAACCAAGATTTGAGTTCTGACTCTCTACCATTTACCATTTAATAACAATACACTTATCAACTCTGAGCCTCATGTTTCACACTGTAAATGGGAACTGGAGAGTCAAGCTCATTGAATCTTAACTTTTATTTGCCCTTGATACTTCTAAGAAGCAGAGTGTTTGATATATGTGCAATTTCTGGTTCCTTTATTAGCTTCTATTTCTGGGAAAAGGTAAAAGTGACTGGGACATTTGATATCTTTCTTTTTCCTCCTTAAACAAAGGAATAGGCCAGAGGTTGGGAAGTGACTGAGCACAGTAGGGAGTGAGTCCTTATCTTTTAAGTGACCCCCTCCCCCTCGCCCTTAGCACTACCCCAGAGAAGGAGCAACAGGAAAATTAGGAAGGTACTCTTAGTTTTATGCTTATTTGGACCCCTGGGAGAAAACAAAAGGCTCAGGCCAGAAATCTCTGCAAACTAGACACTGAAGCAAGAAGGGATTGTTTGTTGTACTAACCCTAATGAAAAAGGACTAAGCAAATGCAAATACACTCCTCTATCAATATTCAAATGTGGGGCCTTTGTTAAGTGAACTGGATGAACTCTACTCTGGGATAATCATGTGGGATTGTTCCTCATTTCAGGGGGATTCAATGGATTAAGAGAGAGAGATTTCTTTTCTATTTCTTCAGAGTTCATATTCAATATTAATGTCAGTAGAAGTTGCACAGAATGGTAATAAAGACAAATAATTATCATAACAAATTTGTAGAGCTCCTTATGGGTTCCAGAGCATTTTTTCAAGTGGTACGTGTGAATAGAATCCGATAATAGTACTTGTGCCCTGCCATTTGCCCACAGTTTGGAATGTATTTATATAATAACTTCAAGTTTATTGCTTTGATTTTCTCATTTCCAAGGAGGGGATCAGATTGTATGCCCAGAAAGAGAAAAATTTTTGGATTTTCAAGAAGGAGCATAATATAATTGAAGGTCAATAGGAAACCTTTTCAAATTTACATTTTAAAAGGTAAATCATTAATTTTTAGCCTCCGCATAGAAAGCACTTTATACAAATATTCTTACCTTCCACCTTCCCCGTGTCATGATAAATTCATAAATGTTCTCAAGAAGGTATAGTCAGAAAATACATGCTTAGGAAGGAAAAAAAATGAAGGAGAT